GGGGGGGGGGGGGGGGGGGGGGGAGAGAGAAAATAATAGTAATAACTGTCCAAAATAAACAAGGATTTTGTCAAGTCTATTAGGAGCTTGAGAGGTGTTGATTTTAAGGAATCCAAAGAAACTTCTCAGGTCGTTAAAAGTTGTGGAGGTGTGCTTCTTATATAACCTAGAAGGATTTTTTTTTTTTTTATATCAGGTATTTGTAGCATACAGAGAGCTTGAAAACATCATGGGTTTCAGTGAAGGTCATGGTGTTTCTGGCTTCATAAGAATGGATTAATTATATTCAAAACTCTAGATAACTTTAAAGCTTCCTTGAATAGCCTCATAAATCTAAGAGCTCTTTTCTTTCTTCTTCTTCTTCTTTCTTTTCTTTTTTTTTCTTTTTTTTTTTTTTTCCATCCAACAAAAAATGAAGGCTTCCATTTAGGAATAAAAACCTAATCTAAAGACAGTTCAATCGAAAAACAAATATATGAATGAATGTATGTATATAGTAACATCTTATATTATCATACGGAACTTTAATGAAATTGTTTCTTTACAAAAATATAAAGTATATATAGTATGTCTATATACAGACATAATACATACATACATACATTTATTCCATAAGAAACAAATTAGTATATAATATGCACAAGGCCCATCTCAAGGAATTCTATACTCCAGCTCACAACTCAATTCTTCTTCCCCTATGGTTTCTATATCAAATCACCCTAACACTCTCATGACTATACCACATTAAAGGAGAATCACTAATGTATATGTATGCAACCCAACAACAAATGATATTAAACATGAAAATGAATGAATTCATAAGTCATCCATGCAAAGCCAAGATTAGCTGAACATGGAGAAGGAAAGAGAGGTACCCATTGTGGAATAATTGACGCAACGTCTTTCCCAGACTTCTGCTTAAGAAACTCGGATAAAGAGGCCAATGCTTTGAGCTGTTGAAAATCTAATAGCAAATTAGTTCCTATTAAAGAACCCAGTAAATGTGAATATTATTCACTCGTAAGATCTCAACGAGTTTCCTCTACAGTATTTACAAAAAGTAAAATTTTGATGCAATGGTTCTAACCAACACTCTGGCTCACAATAGTGCTTTCATTGACTGTTACAACTAACTCTAGACTTAAACGATTCCACACCTTTTACATGAAAAGAGTACTCATTATAATTAATCAATGATTATTACAACATTCAGATAGTTTTAAACAACGAGAAGTTGTCCAAGTGTAGTACTGCATTTATATATGCAATTCTTGAGATCGCAAAGGGGGAAAAAATACACCAAGCCAGTAAATTTTTTTTCCTTTTATTTCCACTAAGAAAATAACAACAGGCCCGTTTTCAGAAATCCCAATCAATTTTTTAGTATCCTACTAATATCCTGAACGCACCACAGTTTTTTAGTTTGTGGTAGAATTAAACTGGACACAGAGGCTCTGGAGTGATGTTGAAAATTGGAAGAGATTTGTCATCCAGTTCACAACATTAGATAGCGCATTTTCACATAAAAGAGTAATACATTGACGAGCTTCTTATTAGCCGTGCCTCAGAAACTCTTAACTACTTATTTCCTAGTGAAGAGCCTTGCTTAACAGTAGATGAAAGACAACAGGTAACTACATATAAATTACCTTGGTGGTTGGGTCTTTCCTTGAAAGCCTCTTCAAGTGCTGTGCAACTTCACCATCAATATCCTGCGTGCACACATATAATAAAAAAAACGGTCCTATCAATGATTACAAATTCATTAATCAAGCAGCGTTACAATAATATCTATCATGTCTCAACTCTCAATCCAAACAACCATACCGAAAAAGATGCTGCATCATCCCCAGTGAGAGTAGAATCGAGCCGGTAACTACCAAGAAAGCCGCCAAATCCAGCAGCGTTAGCGGCGGAATCCGATGGCAGAAGTGACGCTGCCAAACTGTGTGCAAAAGAAAAGTTAAATTTCTCAAAGGAATATGAACAAAAAGAAAAGAATTTTAGCTAATGGAATAACTGAAAGCGGCGATCTTCTTAAATATGGAAGAGAAGTTAACAACCTGCTGCTTGAAGGTCTAGCCTTGCTTCTAGCACCGTCTCCCTTGGGTCTACCCATTCAAAATACAGGCAATAGCACAGGTGAAAAATAAAGAGGGATTGAGAATCCGAGAAAGAGAAGAAAGCCGATAATAGAGATGGAAATCCGGATTATATTGGAAGTCCGCCGATTGAAAGGGGGAAGTTCTCAAAACGCGATGAGAGTCAGAGGTCTGGTAAAGGAGTATCGATACGCCGCCGCCGCCGCCGCCTTCCCCCTGAAATCGGTTAGTCGGATTCAGCTCCGCCTCGAGTAACAGCGACGAAACGTGAAACGCCGCCTCCTGGCGAAAAGCTTAGGAATTAGAGAGCGTATCGGCTAAACAAATGGGCTTCTGTGTTGCATTCATTCGCTGGGAGACGAGAATGCAATTCCAATTTATAGGTTTCAACCCTCATTGAGTTCTAAGGGCGCACAGCTGAAAACTATGTCGGACTCGTATTTCCCTCTTAACGCCAAAGGTTTAATTCTCATTTTTCCCTGCCCTTTTTTAATATTTTATTTCCTTATTTGAACACAAAAAATAATAATAATAATAATAATAATAATTTTAAATGACTATTATCTCGGTCTACCGTCCTTGGGCAATGCCGAACGACGACGATTTGAAGCAACCTGCAAGAGGATAATTTGAGCATCATATGATGTCGTGTCTAACGTACTCTGATGTTTAAGTCAATGATAAGGTCGGAGAAGTGGACAACTAAGTGTCACAATTGCACTATTGAGGCAATGAGACAACCATTGTATCACATTTGTTTTAACTTGATGAAGAAGTTAGTTGTATGGAAGTCGGACTTTACGGACAATTTTGGCATAAGATCGAGTCTCTTGTCACGTTTGAGAGAAATATTTTAGAAAACGTGAGCAAGGAAATGCGAGAAAATCTCAAATTTCGGATTTTTGCGTGAAATCCCCGCTATTTTTTAAAAAAGTACTCCACAATAAATGTGCCCCTATAGAGATAGAACCTTTTCTTATACTAGCCTTGACACACAAAAACCCACAATAAATGTGCCCCTATAGAGATAGAACCTTTTCTCATACTAGCCTTGACACACAAAAACCCAAACATACTCATTTCTTAATTAAATTTGACGTGAAATCTAGAAATATTTCTTTTGTGAAAAACAATTTGAAAGATATCAATGTTATAAGCCAAAAGTGAATAAGCTACAACCACAACTTTGATAGCATATAACCGAGTAGAAATAGTTGGCAACTAATCACATCTTTTTGGGGCATGTTAACATTGACAAGTGCAGACACGATTTGGGTGAAGAGTCATACACCCCGTATTGACATGATAGTAATAGTAAAGACCTAAACTATGAAAGCAAGTAAAAAATGTTTGGAACCGAGATGCGGCCATGGACAACACGTCCTGAATAAGTATGATTGGAACATCTGACACGCGGTCACATGTAACACGTTTTGGACAAGCATGATCGTAACACAAAATAGATGTACGATTTCACCTACCTTTATGAAGAGTGGATCTCATACTTATATTGCTTTTCCAATGTATTCGTATATGCTTTGTGATGGGACAAACAAGTAGATCTTTCCGGAGAGATTGATATCTGGTTTGTATGGTCCAATCGTTATCTCAACTCAATCAGCTAATGATTGAGGCATCGTGGCATTCCCCTCATTTAGTGAATCATGCCTATGGAGTTAGTTCTCACTCAAACCATAACAAATATTATTGAACTTTTTCGTTCCAAATACACATCCTTAAAAGTCGAAGAAATCCTATAAAATTCAATCATTTTAGTCAACACAAACAAATTCATTTAGAACTCACTGTGATTCGAACTCCCTCAAAATTATAGGCAACCGGGACAGACCATTAAAAAAATGTGCAAGTGTTCTTTACCATAAAGCTAGTCCATGAGGAGGAGTTGAGTTCCAATAAAAAAAGAAATCTAAGATATTTATATCATAAAAAAAAATCCACATGCAAATCTTTAATCTTGTTTACAAATTCCCTATTGAGAAAAAGCATTTACAAACATAGCAACTCTTTAACTCGTCAATAAAATCTTGCCTGATATTTGTTTTTTGCATCTTTATTCTGGAGCTGCCTTTTTAGTTGGCAAGATTTTGGTTCTTTTCTTCTTGCATTCAATCTTCCTTTTCAAACATCATAAAGATGAGCATCTTCTGAATTATGGCTCAGTTCTGTTATATTCGTCCATCAAAGAATATTACAATCAAAGCCACGATCAAGGATGGATCTACAGTGCCAGGAAAAATGGTTAGTCGAAATCTTCCTCTTCTGACGCAAATTTGGTGAAGCTTGTGCATCAGGCTTGTCTGCATCAAAAAAGCAATAATCACCACAACTCTTTAGTTACCAATGCAAATGACCCCTTGGAGTTTATGCACGAAGGAATGCAATGTTTTTGCAATAAGAATTCAGTTTATTTCAGAAGAATTTCCCCTCTTTTTGCCAATGAACCATAGCTTTCTAAGATGTGGCAAATGAAAGACACTAACATAGACCCAGAGGAGAGGTATTGATGATTTATTTTTACTGATTTCATCATCCATAAGCCTTTCACCTTGCACAAGTTGCCATTATTTTGAAAGGGTTGGTATCTTGTTGAATGCTCAATCTAATTTGATGGCATTGGTGATTAAGTAACAAAACAATTATGAGCTTCTGATGGGAATCTAAATGATGGGCATCGGTGTTTAAGTTGAATACGAAACCAAAATTAAAAATGATCTATTCAATTATAACTCTTTGAATGTTAATAGTAACTAGGCTATATAGCAAGCATCAAGTTAGCAACATGCTTAGGGATGAAATGAACAGCCTTATAAGAACAATTATGAGCTTCTGATGGGCAATCTAAATGATGGGCATTGGTGTTTAAGTTGAATATGAAACCAAAATTAAAAATGATCTAATCAATTATAACTCTTTGAATGTTATAGTAATGAACAACCTTATAAGTGTTAGACGAACACGACTCTCCACAATGGTATGATATTATCCACTTTGAGTATAAGCTCTCATGGCTTTGCTTTGGGCTTCCCCAAAAGGCCTCATACCAATGGAGAGCGTATTCTTTGTTTATGAACCCATGATCATTCCCTAAATTAGCTGATGTGGGACTTTCATCATCCAACACCTCCCCTCGAACAAAGTACGCCTCCCCTTAATCAAGGCTCGACTCCTTTGAAGTCTTAGTCATTTTTGACTGCCTTCAAGGAGGCTCGACTCTTTTACTTTTCGAGTCCTTTGTTCGATATTTGAGGATTTACCAATCTATCGGCACGACTAAGTTTAGGGCATGGCTCTGATACCATGTTAAACAAACACGACTCTCCACAATGGTATGATATTGTCCACTTTGAGCATAAGCTCTCATGGCTTCGTTTTGGGCTTCCCAAAAGGTCTCATACCAATGGAGAGAGTATTCTTTGTTTATAAACCCATGATCATTCCCTAAATTAGCTGATCATCATCCAACAATAAGAACATTCTTCCTTCTAAGAACAATTATGAGCTTCTGATGGGCAATCTAAATTATGGGCATTGATGTTTAAGTTGAATATGAAACCAAAATTAAATATGATCTAATCAATTATAACTCTTTGAATGTTAATAGTAACTAGGCTATAGCAATTAGCAAGCATCAAGTTAGCAACATGCTTAGGGATGAAATGAACAGCCTTATAAGAACATTCTTCCATATGTTTATTGCTATACAGTACCTGAGCCACTATAGTGTTGCCTTTATATATAGTACAGGATCTCTGGAAAGGAAAGCCTTTCATCTCCAAGCTAGCATTTGAGTCGTCTGAATTTTCACCCACAAGGAAGACTTTGAATTCAGTTCTTCTAAGTTTGTTGAGTGTTCTTTCCACTTTGAAGAGCAAGTCCTGCTCGCCAATATCCCCCTTGAAGCCTTGCCAAGATTCTTTCTGTGACCAACGCAAACTTGTTCACATTATTTCAGAAAAACAGCAAAAAGGAAGCCTTCCTGCGCTTTAACAACTTTAAAAGAATACTATCTTGCAACTATTTCACGAGTTCATATGGAATGATAATGACCAAATGCAAAGTAATTATTAGCAAGTCCCAGCGATCACAATCCTAAAATCTTAAACAAGAATAAGGAACATAACAGTAAAAAACCGTACAAGAAAGGATCGATAGACAAACTGAATGACCTAAAATTCTGAAGCATTCTGTAACAGTAACAGCCACGAACAAGAACACTAAAACCACGTAAGTAATACACTAGCAAAACTTCTCCCAATTTTTTCGTATTAGTTTAACGGATCTAATTCCTGAAGGCGGAGTAAAAAAAGGAAAAATGTTGTTTGTCATGCGGAATCTTGTCTAATTGTTTATTCATACGATCGCGACAAAATTAACCGATAACACTCAGCTTCCGAGAATTCTCGGCTTCCAACTCTTCACATGATTAGGAACTTATGAATCACAGCAGTATACTAAACACAGCTATAGCAGTGAAAGTTAGGATAAAAGTAGTCTGAATTACTCACGTTAACACGATGAATGGAAATGAGAGGACCGGCGGCGGCGGCGGCGTCGTGCAGCACAATCTTGTCAATTGACGACGATTTCAAAGATTGACGACTGAGTCGAAAAATGAAATCGCCGGAGGAAGTAGTTACGTGGTCGGGATGTTTTTTGGATAGGAACAAATCGACGGGAATGGGGAGAGATGCGGCGCAGATGGCGGGATCTGAAGAATTAGCCATAATCAATTGGATTTGCAAGAAAATGAAATGAAAAATTTGGAAGAAAATTAAGAGAAGAGGAGGAGAATAAAGAATGTTGGAATGAAGTTAAATTTTCTTAATGGAAGGAAGGAAAAAAAACGCAGAATATTATTTCAGCTGTCAATTTTTTCTTATTTTTAATATAAAAATATTTGTTCCAAACAACCTTTCCATACATAATTTTCAATTCTCAATATAAATTTATTAAAAAATATAAAACATATATATACATACATAGATATATAGGGTGAGGCGGAGTGGAGAAGAGATTTGACAGTGTTGGAAGCAGAAACCGGGTTGATTTATATAATTTTACAGTGTCAAAAGAAAAAATCTTTCTCTACTCTCTTTTTCATTTCCAATTTAGACTTAGATTTTTCAAGTTAAATGTACATTTTTAATCGCGAGAGGTACTAATGAAGAAGAACAATTCTAATCGAGAGGTACTGGTGAAGAACAATTCGGGCCATTTGATAACTTATATATTACTTTAGTATAATTTTGGGTGTATAAAACATTTTTATGTTGAATAATTTAATTATTTTTTTTTTAGTTCCATTTATTTTCAACAATTCAGTTTATATTAAATTATATAATATTTTGTAAAACAAGTTAGATTATGATGTTTTGGATTTTTATTGAAATAATATATAATAATAATTTAAAGATTAATTTAGATTTTAAACGAAAATACTAGAACTTAAAAATCAAAATAAAGAAAATATGTAATTTTAGAAATTGAGACATGAACATCTTTCTTAAGATGCTTCCCATATGGGCATCCATATGTTCTCTGAGAACGACATTTTACTGTACGGGTAATCGACATTTTACCGTACGGGTAATCGAGCTGTCGAACATAGAAGAATTTGAATGAAATTTCTTTCATTGATTATATAAATTACACAAGAACTAACTACAGAGATGAGGGACTTCCAAGAAGAATGTAATAATCTACAACTTATATTTGGCAGTGCCCACCAATCAATCAAATTGTGTAGCTCCTTATGATGAACCCCCAACTGATTGAGGGAATGTTGGTGGCACTCAGATATCAAATAATCCGAATGCTTGCTTCATTGCCTTGCCTGCCACCTGGAAAACTTGTGTGTTCTTTCAGGTACCAAAATAACATAATTGGGTGACAATTATGCTAAAAAATACACTTCTACTGCTAACCATAAACAACCACAAACAAACAAAATCTAGGCCCGTCAAGAGAGAGATTGAGAGAAGAGATGTAACAATCCAAGTCACCGCCAACGGAGGAGGAAGAGGTTTCCACACCCCTTATAAAAAATGTTTGTTTCGTTCTCCTCTCCAACTGATATGAGAACTAAGAATCCACCCTCTTCGAAACCAGTTTCATTCTCCTCCCCAACCGATGTGAGATCTAAGAATCCACCCCCTTCGAAACCAGTTTCATTCTTTTTCCTAATCGATGTGAGATCTAAAAATCCACCCCCTTCGAAACCAACGTCTTCGCTGGATTTGTTCCCTTCTCCAATTGATGTGGACTCTCCCCCTCCAATCTAATCCCCTTCGGGACCCAATGTCCTAACTGACACACCGCCTCGAGTCCACCCCCTTCGAGGCTCAGCTTCCTTGCTGGCACATCGCCCAATGTTTGACTCTAATACTATTTGTAACAACTCAAGCTCACCTCAGCTTCTTTGCTGGTACATCGCCCAATGTCTGGCTCTAATACTATTTGTAACAACTCAAGCTCACCGCTAGTAAATCTTGTCCTCTTTGGACTTTTCCTTTCGGGCTTCCCCTCAAGGTTTTTAAAACGCGTTTGCTAAAGAGAGGTTTCCACATCCTTAAAAAGAATGCTTCGTTCTCCTCCCCAACCGATGTGGGATCTCACAAGAGAGATCGTTCGTTCTTGGTGAGCGTGAGAGAGAAGAAATCTGCTGAAAATAGGAAAGTTGGGAAGGAACATAACAAAGAAAGTTTCTCAGATTTTGGTCTATTTTAGAAACGTTTTAGAAACAAGAACCCGACACATCTGTTTCTCAACAAGAAACAGAGAACGGTGAATATATTACTAAAGGAGGCCTACAGGGCTTTTAATTTCTATTGAAGTAGCAAAGCAAAGTGTATTTTGACCTCTAAATCTCCAAAGGAACATCCCTAGTCATTACAAGCACATTCCTCTCCCTATTAAGCAACTCACTTAAGGAAAATGGTAATACCTGATATAGGACAAGCGGTAGAACAAACATCCCTCTCCCAAAGACGAAAATAGCTGTCCTATAATACCAAAAATTCAACGGTAGGACCATCTCCAATCTTCACCCTCTTCTTGACCACCATTACTATCGTAATCAAAACTATCGCCATCGTCTTCGTCAAAATCACCATATATTTCATCCTCGTCTAATTGAACTCCATTCTCTGACAGGTCGTCCTCTTCTAGACCATTAGCTTCTGAGGACTGCTTGTCCTCATCATCTTCTTCTGATTCTTCATTTGTAGATTCACTTTCCAACTCTTCTTCTTCGGACGCCTCATCTGGGTAATCGAAGTGTGGATTGTTTTCAGCTGAAACCAAAAAAGATATTAGAAACAACAGACATTAGTTATAATTTAGGTTTCTAAACTAGAGGGAAAAACCTACTTACCATTTGAATCATCACTTTCATAGTCCGAGTCATCAGGCCCATCATATAGATCCAAGTCGTCCACTTGTATCCTGAAAAAATATGTGAAATGATTTCCGAAAAAATAAAATCAAGTATAACCCAGAGCAGAGAGGGAAAACAGAGAGAGAGCGAGAGAATAACGCACAAAGGAAATGGATTAGAGGCATCGTCCTCGGCAATCGGAACATTATTCTTCACAGTATAGTAGTCATATACATAATCATCTACGGGCACTGTAGAACAAGTGAAAACACAGACATAGCAATAAGAAATTACAGTAACGACAGCCCTATGAACATACAAATGATATAACAAAAGGGTGAGCTAGGAAGGAAACTCAGGCAAGGCAAGAACTGGAAAACAAATGGAAAATGGAGGATAACTATTCTCCTCATCCAACGCAAATCTCTTTTGAATTGCCTAGGACTTCAGTTGCATTATTTACCACTACAGTTGTATGACAAAACACCTCAAGTGACTAAATGAAACTTACAATCTTGTTTCATCGTGTTTGCATTTATATCTGACTCGATCTCTTCGGCAGCACTTGGAATAAACTCTCTTAGTAAAGGCAGATAACTTGATAACATACTTTGATCCTCCAGAGTCATACACCTGCATTAATACCGAAAGAAAATATGGCCACATAAATGAGGATCTTATAGAATATCATGACCAAACAATATCATAATGACAGAACTAAAGAACTAACTCCGCCTTTGGTGCTTCACTTGATGTTTCATTTGTATCAAGACGAACAATATCATAAATATGATATGCATCATGTAATTGGTCGTCTCTGGGATCTTTAATCCCTTTCCTACTTCTCCATATTTGCTCAAATCTAGCTTTTTTTGCCAAAACCTAGTAAAAGGAGAAAGCAGTAGCACAAAGAAACCATGTTACCAACATAATATAACAGTTCAACATATGAACAAAACTTGGTCAGACTAGAGAATGCCATCTATAATCTAATCTGACAAATTCTTCAGATAAAACATTGATTATATCTATTTTTATAAAAAGCATTAAAGAAAAGTCATCATAGACCAGACCTCTTGTTCTTGTCTAGTTTTAACCAACAGCTGTTCTTGTCTTGGCTGCAGAACACTAGATAAAGTGAGAAAATTATTCAACAAGTACCGCACAACTAAGAACCAAACAAACAACAGACAGGACAGCATACACTCTCTCTCTTAAAATTTCTTCTGCGCTCCTCATTCTTTAGGTTATTTTCAATGTTGCCAGCAGCATCTGGTGCCTAAAGGGAAAACAGCAAGGGATGAAGATGCTAGTCAAAATGTCCAAGAAGGAGATTAATAACTGACCACAATACTAACCACGAACGACTGAATAATGTCAACTGAGGCCTCAGAGCTTCTCAGTGTCTCCACATGCTGTACAAAAATCTTCTTAGTTTTAAGTTCCTCTGATGCAAGAGAAAGCTATTCCATCAGGGACGGAGTTATACACAGCCATATTTAAATATACTTCATTGACCCATGCAACTGAGAAATCCAGTACAATTTTGGTCGAACTATCAAAGTTTACATTTAATCAATTGGCAAGAACAGTAAAGTAAATAAATCCATTCACCCCTCCCTCACAGAAAAAGAAGAAACAATAATAACAATGAAATCCATCCATTAATTTTCTTATGAAGGGACAAAGAATCCATGTTTGTATTTTTTAAAATCACTAGCCCTGCAAACACCAGGGTATAATCAGGAGCAGTTACTGTATATTCTTGTGGAAGAATCATAGATAGCTACTAACTGCTGTTTCCTCTTTTCACCTATGTAGATTATAGAGTGATTGGTGAAAAGAAAAGAACGCAATGATAGGTTCAGAAATTATCAAACCTTTCTGGAACGTTTCAGAAATGGACAAATTATCAAAATCCAAAAGAGGTCGTTTCAGTGGCCTCTCATTGATTTCCAGCCCTGCAACATACAAATTATCCGAACGTCAACTCGGAAACGAACAATTCAAACTCCATTTGATACGTGAATAGTTAGAAATCAAAAGAGACGGCTAATATCCAAAAATTACAATAATGTAAAGGCGATTCATCAACTAAAATCAGCAAGATGAAGGCCTTGATGAAGTGAATGAAAACGAGCGTCCGAAGAGAACTCACATAACGCATCGAGTCGAGACTGGGAAGCTTTGCGCTTAACCCTAACTAAGACTGGCTTTTCGTCCGCGAATTTGGGAGCAGAAGAAGAACTCTCGCCGATGCTGGCCATATGCGAAGCGATCGGAGACACGATCGACGCTCAGGGTCTAGAACATGCGAGCCGGAGAACAACTACGAACTTCTTGTGTCCCCTAATAACAGAGGGTTGCGCTTTTAAATATGAAATATTAATTTGTTTGGGTTTAAATATTTTATCTTTAATATATATATATATATATATAT